TTGCAGCATGATAGAGTGGACAAAGTTCTGGGGTTGTGCTGTTTATTTATACTCTGCCTAGTTCTATAGAAGGATGAGGTGGCTTTCATACACACAGACAAAAGACACTTAATGTGGAGGGAAAATAATGGTGAGAAAAAAGGATAGGATATGGATAATGTGTACTTATGTACATATACACCCGCCACAGGTAAGCTACAGATCTGGCTGTGAACTTCCACATCAAGATCTTGGCATCCAGAGGCCTGATCTGAGTCCATCTTTGTCACTCCATGGTGGCCAGCAGAGCTCAGAGTGTGCCCTGGAGCTAGGCTGTCAGGGTTAAAATCCCAACTGTCTATAATTGAGGACAACCTTGGGCTTAAGCTCTTTGTGCCTTGATTTTTATCATATAAAATGGGGGATAATGGCCATGTCCTCATAGGACTTCTTGAAGATTAAATGAGTTAATACATGCACAGGGCTTTTGAACAGAGCCTGGCACAGAGTAAATAATTAGGATCCTAATTCAGCATCTACTGGCATTCAATAGATGACAGCTGTGGATATTAACCTTATAGCTGTGTGGCCTTGGGCAAACCAATTCCAATTTCCTTGCCTTTAAAGCTGTCTCCTGCTGACCTAAGAGGGTTATGGGGAACACACACAGTGTATACATAGAGGAACTCAGTAAACTAGAACATGCTAGACAAATGTTGGTTGTTGCTGTAACCAAGACTCTGGGACACAAATCCCAGATAATTATTCTGAGCTCCCTTCTCAAGTTTTAGCTTTGACTTCTCTGCTTTCTTCCTGGCTAGAGTAAAGAAAGTTCAAAGGAGAAAAAACTAACAGTCCGCCAAGATCTTGAGGACAGATATGCTGAACATGTGGCTGCCACCCAAGCACTACCCTGGGATAGTGGGACAGCAGCTTGGAAGGGCCAAGTGCTGCTTCCTGAAACCCGAAAGAGACAGCAATTGTCAGAGGACACCTTAACCATCCACGGCCTCCCCACAGAGGGTTACCGGGTTCTGTACCAAGCTGTGGTGGAGCCTATGCTGTGGAATCCTTCAGGAACCCCCAAGAAGTACAGCTTGCAGCTGGGCAAGGCCATCAAACAAAAGCTCTGGGAGGCTCTGCGTGGTCAGGCTGCCACACCCGAAGGTGCTCAGAAGGATGTGTTACCTGGCAGAAAGTGGCTGGGTGTCCATGAGGAGCCTGTGCCCAAGAAATAGCCTAAGTTAAGGACAGAAAAATAGGAACAGGAATTCATGGGATTAGGATATTCTCTGCTAGACGTATGAAAAATAAACACCAGTTTGCACTTTCCAAGTAATCTGAGTGCTTTACAAATTAGTGACTACCCTCCCAGGGAAATAAGACAGACAGGTATGGGACTCACTCAAGATATTACTTCCTGTAAGAGCTTGAGGGTCATAGGGAAAGGCCTGGCAGATGAAGCCAATGATTTATATTCAGCCTCTATTCCCTATTTTTAAAAAGTGGACTGCTAGGTTCTTCGTCATTGCCTACCACTTTCTTAGCTCCCTTCACACAGGACTGAACAAAATGGCTACCACTGCCTCAAGGCTATAAACCCACACACTCTAGCAGATGCTCTCCCAGGACACCACCTAAATCCCCAGTAACCTGGACTCTAAGTTAACAGGAGAGGAAGTTTTACAGCCGCTTTCATGGGCCAGTTTAAGTTAAAGCACTGCCCCATGCAAACTTCTCCTTTGTAGAATCTGTAGACCTTTACCAAACAGAGCAGTAACAACATATAACGCATACTTGATAAAATTGTATTTTTGTTTTACAGTCATTTGTACAATTTGTTACAAAACCATAGAAGACTACAACTTGTTTTAAATCATTTTTGGTCTGCAAATATGTAAAATCTGTGTGCAATTATCATGTATTTACAGGGCCTTGGGTTAGTCATTTTCAATGATTATTCCAACAATGTCACACTCTCAACATAAGACATGGCTTAAGATAAATATATTAGTAAATAAATATTCTGAGAACATATTTCCATAAATGAAATGTGCTGCTATACATATACAGAATATACATAAATTGTTTTCTAGCTTTTAAAACATTTTTTTAAAAATGGTAATATTGGAAAAAGAGCCCTTAGACCATTTTAGTACAAAATCTTTACAGCAAAGTCTTTACAAAATATCTTTTAAGTGCTATGGGAGAAATTTTTTTAAAAAACATTCTAAAATAGTGCCTTGTTAGACCAACACAATAAAAAAAAGTATATAAAGAATAGAAAAAGGCAGTTCTGTTTTAAAAACAATACTCTTGATTAGTAATTATTTTTTAGACCTCATTTTAAAAGCATTAGTCCTGCATGAACTTCGAGTAGAGACCAACCAGCAGCGCTTAGGGGAGGGTCTGAGCAGTGGGACGGCTGATGAAGCTTTACAAAATGGCTTGGATTTGGAAAGGAGGAGGAAGAGACTAAGGGTTAAAGCCAGCTTACTGGGGCTGTGTCCACAAAGAAGTACCTCATTGGCCAGAACACCCAAACTTCCATTTTTGGCTGGTTCTAAAACTCTTCAGTTTACATGGCTGTCTACACCCAGGGCTAGGCCATGGGACCACGCTCAACACTCACACCCCAACTTGGGGTGGCATGGAGTAGTTCTTAGTGGAAAATGAAATGCTCCCAGTTTCCATGGCCATATAACCACCACCCACCACTGGGAATCCAGAGAAAAAGGCTTGTCATTATTATTGATGTCTTACAACTTCAAAAATGACATCTTTTGATTTAAATGGTGAAGCAATAAGATAGTTGGTTATTTTATTCTGGTGACCTCGCTGTGTGATGAGGCAACACAAATGTAAAAGACATGGTTGATATTTAAGGTTTTAAAATTTCATTTATGTTTCTACCACTTGTAAACTACAAAAATCAAATGTGCTTTTTTTTTGCCATCTGCAGTTACCACTCTTTCAAATGAAAATTTGACACATTTATTTTAATAAGCCCAGTTGAAGCCACATTCTCTACTCATCTGTTTATTACTTAAGGCTTACTAAGGAGTGGTTTTCCAGCCGGGGCTAAAGAAAGCCACTTTGGGGGTACGGTTTCAGACAGGGAAGATAATATGTACTCAAAGGCATTAAAAACAAAAAAGCAAAACCACAAACAAAAAAAAAAAATCTCAACAATGAGAAGCTGCTTTTTGCAGTTCATGTTAAAAGCAATACCCCTTCCATAAAACCATGTAATGCAAGCTGTTGTCCTCAGCAGCTGCTACTCCTGGCCCAAGAAATAAAGGCGGCCCAGATCACATGTCAACAGCTTAGGCGCTTCTCACACCCTCGCCAACAGGTGTGCTGGGCACAGCCCTGGGAGCAGCCCCCAAGGGACTGCACCCAAGGCTGGAGGACAAATTTCACCACAGTGAGTTCCTAAATGGCTAATGGCTCAACCATTTCATGCTGGAATTTTATTCTGTCAAATCTTGGCTAGAAATAAGTAAATTTCCTCATTATAGGATGGGGGTTTTAAGAAAAAAGTATTCTGATATGGTGAGATTCTCATTCTTAATGTTCTGGTCTAGATCTTGGGCTGACTTCCTGTGAGCCTGACTGGAGAGGGGTTATCACAGTTGCCTGGCAACCCAGGATGGTCCCTAATTCTCCACCTCCTGGGGGCCAGATCCCAAGGTTCCTATTCTGCAAATCAGCTTTTATTCCCAATGGGCCAAACTCTTTCATATGGCAACAAATACCTACTGAATGAATAAGAGTGACCAGAAGAGTCAGTGAACACAAGGGCTAATATGATTAATTTCCTCCAAAAAAATATTTTTTTAAAGAACTCAAGGAATACACTGGACAAAAAGGATGACAATCCCTGATCTGAAGTAGCTTTAAATAGATTCTCTCTCCCTTTTAAAAATGAAACATCTTTTAAACAACCAAAACGGTCTGGATTTTTATTCTCCCTCCCCCTATAAGAAAAAAAAAAAAAAAAAAAAAAAGGCTGGAAAAATATATAAAAGCCTACCCTTTGGGTCTAAACTATCTGATAGTCTCTGTCTCAGGGAGAATCAATACATAATAGTGCATTAGGTAGACAGGATAGTAGACATCTGCAGGCGAGATGAGCGATTTCAGCCATGAGGCAGAGGGCTGAATAACCCTGAAGCGGTGCTTCCATAGGGAAAAGGGATGGGAAAGGTGTCATTCAAACAGAGCTCAGTGCAGAGCCCGTGGAGTCCGGGCATGTGTCCCCAGGAAGCAGCAGCTGAGGGGCGTGGTTGCCCTCACACACACGCATGCGCACAAGCATGCTCCAGCACCTTCCATCCCTTCTCTATGAAGAGCAACCCCCCCGCCTCCCTCCCACCGGCAGCCACATAGGACACCAAAGCCACAATACTACATTCCTCCTGTGTGTTTGCCCCTACACACCCGTTGAATCATTTCTGCAGCCGATAGCAGTAAGCCCAGGGCCACGGAGGGGAGAGCCTCCTTCCCCGCCCTAGGGGTCAGAGTTCAGGAAGAGGATTCCCCGAGAACATTGCCCTTGCTAGGACCTGGACCTCTGCCAAGATCAGGACCGTGAACTCCGTCATTTTACTTGGTACGATGACCCCAGGGGACAGATTGAGGATATTGGGCAGAACTGTCCCTGTCACCCTGGGGCTTATGTAGCAATGGCTTGACCCAGTTCCCCAGTGCTGCAGACCTTCCACCCTATTCCTCGCTGTTTCCGTCACCTGCCTAAAAGAGTGGGCTGGAGAGACCTGACATTTTGTACATTGGGATTTGCCATGAGAAAGAGGCAGCTTTGCATTGTTCCTCAGAGTTTGTACCCATATCAACTAGCTTTAGTTCAAGTTTCTGGTTCATTTCTAAGGCAGGTGTAGCCCTGAGCTTTTCAAAGGCCTGAGCTCCCTCTGGGGAGACAACAGTATCTACACATGATGTGGTTCATTTAATGCAGCAGTGTTTTTTTTTTCTTTTTTCAGCGAAAGTTGGCAATTAGGGTTCTTTAAAATATATATATTTAAATAACTTTTTACATTTACATATAATATCTTTTAAAAAAAAGCAGAGAACTCAATCCCACACACCTTGGAACCCCAAGCACACACATTTTACAAAACAGAGTAACATGTTATCAAAGGAGGCAAAGGACTCAGAGAATTTTGTCTGTTGGTTTGTTAATGGGGCATGGTGGGGAGTTGCCACAGGTGGCTCACATTTTGGGTTGAGAAGAAGGGCTCTCTCTATTACCACTTTTGTGTGTTTGTCAAAGCTAAAAAAAAAATTTGTTTTGAAGGAAGTCAGAGTTTGGAGTCTCCCTATAGTTCCCAATTTCCAGATAAGAGTTCCTTCCATGCTCAGGTTCCCGTGCTGCCGCTGTCTGCTGGGCAAGAACCCGGTCCTGGGAGAGAGAGAGAACAATCATCAGGGGAGGCAGCTGGCACGGCAGGCTTCAGGCACAATGCACAGGGACCCGGCAGGGGATTCGGGCGCCCCTGTCCTGTGTGTGTGGTGGGCTCTCAGCAAGTGATAGCTCATAATGGTGGATGGACTGTGTCTAAACTAAAGGGCTGAAGCAGGGCTCCTCTTCTGAGAGGGGTTCAGTCTGTGCTGAGGGCACAGTTGCCTCCTTGTAAGCCAGCCTCCCTCATCTGGATGCGCAGCACCTTCTGGAAGCCCTTAGGTGGCATGAAAACAATGTACAAAAGAGATGTTAACTGAGTGCCCAATGTGTCAGGCCCTGTTGTACAGTGGAGAGGACCCTCTCACAGAGCTTACAGACCTCACTATGAAGTAATCTCGGATTGGGATGATTTAGGAAGTAAAGAGAGGGCGCAAGAGTGACCTTGGAGGGAGCTGGTGCGTCATTTTAGCTAAGATCTGGAGGAGAGAAGTAGCAGAGAGGTCTGGAGGATAGAATGAGCTTGGCGCTTGGGAGAACAGGACAGAGGCCACTGCGGGCTAAAGCAGCGAGCGCTGACAGCGAAACAGGAGTTGGTAGGATGAGTAGGCAGGGGTCAGCTCAGAGAGAACTGGCTGAGGAGTTTGCATTTTTAAGATTCTAAAGGTAAATCATTTAAGGGTTTTCTAGCAATAAAGACATCAACTTATGTTTGAAAAAAAGGCCACTCTGGCTCCCAAGTGGAATAGAAGGCAAGACCAGAGACAGGAGACCTGTAATGAGGCTAGTGCCTTTGCCCTGGAGAGAGGAAATGGGGCTGGACGGAAGGGACAGCAGTTGGGGATGCAGAGTAGTGGATAAATTTGGGATATACTTTGGAGGTGGAACTTGTCGAACTGCTACTTAGAGGTGCTAGACTGCACAGTTTATTACTGAGACCAAATATTTGGAAATTTTATAGCAATTTGATCTGTTGAACCCAATAATAAAAAATCTGGACTTGTATTTTGCATGTCTTTTCCTAAGTTTCATTTTTCTGAGAATTGATGTTTATGGACTGGATTAAAAATAAGCAAATGTGATCCTTCATAGCCAAGTTGAAAAGCACCAGAATGCTGGAGTGTGAGGAGCAAGGTGGGCCCAGGGATGGTGCCTAGGTTTTTGGCTTGAGCATCTGGGCAGGAGCCTTGGAAAAGGAGACAAGGCAGAGGGGGACTGAGTGTTGCTGTGGACATGACAGGTTGGGGTGCTTGTGAGACATCTGGAGGGAGATCGTGGAAGCAGAGGGCTCACTGGGTCTGGAACTCTGAGGAAGGGACAGGTTGGGGAATAACACTTGGAAGTCATCAGGTAGTTGGTATTTAATGCCAAGGGCACAAAGGAAGTCATTTTGGAAACTACTGAGGAGAGAAAAGAGGACCTCCAAGGAAACTCCTGCTCTCACCTGCAGCCTCTGTGGCTGTGGCGTTGGACTCCTGAGTGTCCTGGGGGGCACTGGGGAAGCTGGCCCTGGAGGCACTTGCCTCTTCTGCAGGGCAGCCATGCCATAGCAGTGCCCCTGCCTGGCAGCACAAAGCCTGCTCCTCCTCCTGGGCTGTTCCCAGGCCCCCCAGGGGCCGCGGGGCATCTGGGTCCAGCGTCCCACCCCAGGGACTGAGACTGTAGGTCCCTTGGCAGTCTGAGGGCAGGCCCAAATCACCGTCCACATCTTCCGGAATGATGGGGATGCGCTGGCTCAGGTCCCGGGCCCCTGGGTAGCAGCTGGGTGGGGGCTCCTCAGCGAGCGTGTACTGCACGCTCACAGAGTAGTCCTCGGTGTAGCAGCCACTGCCCCCTCTGCCGTCGTGGGCCACCTGCTTCTCTTCATAGAAGCAGCAGGGTAGGCCCTCATATTTCACCCCATCTGTCCTAGGCAAATGGTCTGGGTGAAGGCTGTATGGGCCCTGGGAGCTTCCTGGCTGTGGATCCCCACCCACAGGGCCGCAGCCCTCACAGAGGGGGGGACCCAGGAGCGAGGAACTGGCTGCTCCTGCACTGGGCCCCAATGTGGAGGGCTGGAGCTCGCAGCAGCAGGCACACGACGGCCCCTCAGAGCCCCCCTTCCAGGTCCTCATGAGGTCTGGGGCACCCCCAGGAGAAGCCTCGAGCCCCACTTCTGAGGTAGAGCTGTTGGGCCCCCTGTGCTCCAGGGAGGAGTTGCTGCTGTAGTTCATCTCCAGGCTGCACGTGGACAGCTGGTCCCCCGAGGGAGAGGCAGGGCCCGGCCAAGGCTCTCCCCGCCCAGCACCATGACTATGTGCTGCCGGTAGCTCCTCAGGTGGTGGGGAGCCCTCGAGGTGCCCGGCAGGCCCCCGTGCTGAGCCCCCTACGTCGCTGGTGTGACAGGGGCTCCGGCTACGGTAGATGAAGGGGTCATAGTCGCTGCTGAGGGAGCTGCGGAAGGTGGAGCAGCTCCCATACACGCCCTGGTTGCTGACCTCAGTGCAGTCCACCACAGAGTCGCTAGAGGAACAGTGACATTGGCCAGAGCTGCTGCTGCTGCTGTCACTGCCGGGGCAGTCAGCCAGGTAGCCACTGCACACTGAGCGGTGGCCATGGTAGCAGCTAAAGCTGGATGTGCTGCCACTCTCCAGGTGGGAGGACGGGGCCACGTGCACCACGGTGGGGAAGAGCAGGCTGCTGCCACCGCCACTTGGCGCAAAGGCACGGGATGGGCCCCTGGGAGCCAGGCTGGGTGGAGGCGGCCCCTCCTGCTCTGGGTAGCTGAGGCCCTGGAAGTAGTAGTGTTGGTACATGGTCTCGTACTGGGAAAAGCAAGCTGCCTTGGAGAAGCTACGGCCACTAAACTTGGGCCTGCGGAAGGGGTGGGCTGGTGAGTAGGCCCGGTGCTCCAGGCCGCAGCGGTGAGCAGCCAGGGTGTGGTCCAGGTGGAGGGGTGGGTAGCCACGGATGTAGGTGGGGGTCTGTGGAGAATAGAGGCTCTGCTCCCCGTGCCGGTCCATGGTCAGAAGCGTGATGGGGTTCCCGTGGGAGTCCATGCTTGTCCTCGTAGGGTAGGCTGGGATGGCGTTGGTCCTGTGCACGCGGCCGGGGTAATGCACTGGCAAGGTCACCCTCTGCTGCCGCCCACGCGAGAGGTTGTTTGGCTCCACACAGACGGCACTTGGGTTTCCCTTTTGTTCTGGGGAGAGGGGGAGGGAACAAAGTAAGCAGGGCTGAGTGTACCGGTGTCAGGAGTGGAGGGATAAGAAAGGGCAAAGACTCAAGCAGCAGGCTTGGTGATGTGTCAGGGTGCCCATTCTCATGATCCTACCGCTATCTAAGCTGTCACCAAACTTGGCTGTGCTGGCAGAGGCTGACCTGTCTCTCCGTGTGAAAGGTGGTCATCCTGTAAGGGCCTGATAGAATTTGGATGTGTTGTCCCCACCAAAACTCATGTGGAAATCTAATCCCCAATGTGGCAGTGTTGGAAACTGATTGAGTCATGGGCGCGGATCCCTCATGGATGGATTAGTGCTCTCCCTAGGTGGGGGGATTAATGAGTGAGTTCTCGCTCTATTAGTTGCCACGAGAGCTAGTTGTTTAAAAGACCCTAGCACTTCCTCCCTCTCTCTCTTGCTTCCTCTTGCCATGTGATCTGCTTGTACCCGCTGGCTGCCTGCCGCTTTCCACCATGAGTAGAAGCAGACTGAGGTCCGTGCCAGATGCAGCTGTCCCAGAATCGTAAGCCAAATAAACCTCTGTTCTTTATAAATTACCCGCTCTCAGGTATTTCTGTTACAGCAACACAAAACGGACTAATACAGAGCCCACCTCGCATCTCCCCACTGCTCTGCTGACAAGGGCCCCACAGGAGTTGGCAGAGAAGAGCAGGGATACAAAGAGCCTTCTGCCCCCGTCCATAGCACAGTGATGCAGGAGCAACACTGCAAACCTGCCGCTACACACTCAACGTCTCTTATGGCCCTGGGAACAACCCCATGGTCCTCGGTACGGGCAAGCATCACCACTATTATTCCTGCTGAAGAGATTGGGAGCCTCAGGCCTGGAAAGGCCAGAAGTCTTGCCCAAGGCCAGGAAGCTTGTTAATATGAAGCCCAAACCTGAACTTGGGGCAATTCTTAATGCCAGGCTCTCCTAAAGGTGTACAGCCACATTCTCCAAAATCCTAGGCCACCATGTCTCCAAATCTGGAAGGCAATGCTGCAATGGTTTTGCTCACTCACGAGCCTGTAGCATGTCACATTCTAGCTAGGCATGTGGTAGGGACAGTGTCCTCCAACTTGACTCTTCAACGATAGAGGCAGGAGACAGTTACCTATGATGTTGTGCCGACAGTGGGGGCAGGTATGGTGCTGCAGCAGCCACGGGTCCACGCACTTCCTGTGAAACCGGTGAGTACAGGGGATAACCCGCAGCTCCTGGGAAGAGAAAGAGGGGACACAGCCTGAAGGGAGGGCACAGGCCAGGCAGAGGGCAGTTCTGCCGTCAGCCCCACATGTGCTTCCTCCTGCGGAGCCAAGTGTAGACACAGGAGCCCTGCTCACCATGCCAGTGCCCTTCCTCACTGTCTCACCCACCTCCAGCTACAGGTCAGCTCAGTGCCCTAGATGCAGGGCCCATGGATGGGTTCTATGGAGAAGGAAACCGCTCGCCAGCCAGCCCCAGCCCTCAGTGTTAAAGGAGCAGGAGCATACAAAAGCAGGCCTCTTCCCTGTAGTTGGAGGAGGGTGCGCACATTCATACTTCCACAAAGAGAAGACCAAAGCCTTGTGTTAGTGAGGATGGGAAGCCTGGGGTGTGCAGAGAGATGCATCTCTGTGGTGGTAGCTGCCTCTAGGTACCCCAAATGGGGACAAGTAGAAAGGAAGATCCCTGGGACTTGGGATTGACAGGTACAGCAGAAAAGGGGCAAAGTTCTCCTGTCTCCTCCTCCCCTGAACCCTCAACACTCACCACGGGGGCACATGGTTTATAACAAAAGCAGCCTATTTGGAGAGAATGTGGTGGCATTTTCTGGGGCAGAACCACCTTTGGACTTCCTGAGCCTAATCATCCTCCAAATTTGCTAATTTTGTCTTTTCATTTTCCAACCAATCTGGAACACAATAATCTTCAAACTAATACCTAACATTGTGCCTGACAGAGTACCAAGAGGTCTACTTGTATTTTCTCATGTAACCTTTGTGGTGATCTGGAATGTCAGTCAGTCTTGGGACCACATCATAAGCACAGGCACAGAGAATGAAGTTGCTTGCCCAAGATCACAAAGAACCCAGGCAGTCTGCATCCAGTGTCCATGCGAGAATCTGTTATCCTAAAGGCCTCTGCAAAAACTTTATCATCCAACAGTCTAGACAACAGTGGAACATTTTCATCAAAGGGACATAAAATGCCTGCAATTCTCAAGTGGTTTGCTCCCTGCTCCCCAATTCTGTGTGTATGTATATATATATGCATCTATCTATCTAAAGACTAAACAAATGTGGCAAAATGTTAACAACGGATGGTTCTAGGTGAATCATCATTCACCTAGACGTATATGACTTATATCATTCACAGTACTATTTTTGCAACTTTTCTGAAGATTTGAAATTTTCAAAATAAAGAGCTACAAGGAAAAAGGGTCTTGTCTCTTTATAAGTAAAAACACCAAGTCAAGTATCAAGTTGAGTCTCAGAGTTTTCAGAAAAGTGATTCTAAAACAAAGTTAACCTGTGTCAATGTTCTTAAAACCAGATGTTTTCTGGCCTACTGTATATTAAGGATCAGCTTATAAAATCACCTAATGTTCAGCTGGGTCCTCTGGAGAGCATATCTCTGTGTGTGGCCACCCCTTCCCTGGGGAAACGGTTACAGTGTCTCAGGCCATCCCCTAGAAACCTGGGCATTTAAGCCCTTCAGCTCCTGCAGAGCTAGGGGAACAGGATATGGGCCCTGTCCTTGTAGGTGTGGGGCTCATCTGCTGACCCGCCCACCTCCTCCCCACCCAGGAAGGGCCCTGCCTCTGCCGTTACCTCTCCGTCGATATACTTCTCCAGGCAGATGGCGCAGTCAGACGTGGAGCTACTGCTGAGTGTGTCCAGGGCCCCACAGCTTCCCTCCCGACGCCCCTTGTTCTTGGAGTTGAACTTTCTGGTTTCCATCTTCTCCAGAGCCTGCACGGCCAGCCTGTTCATGGAATTCTGCACAGAAGAATGTGGTCCATGTTAGGGTCTGGTGTGTACTGTCAGAGGGAGTCACTCCCAGGGCCTTGGCACTCAAAGCACCAGGACAAGCAAACAATTAGACTTTATCAGGCCAGAACAGACTTTTGAGAAATCACTCCAAATTCAGACTTCCAGAGCACATACTTTCCAGACCCCCAGTGTCCACAACATCAGGCCAGGCTTTTCCCAAGTGGCAGTACTAGCAGAGGTCTGTCCTTCCATTTGAAGGCAGGGGCCTCCTGCAAGTACTTGGCCCTGCTGCTTCTCAACTCTATGAGACCCTGAGTTATTAACCCGCTCTACACCAAGGGTACCTCCTTCTTACACTGCAGGAAGTTGTGAGGGTAAATGAGACAATGTGTGTAAGTCTCAGCACCTGGCAAATAGGATGCGCTCAATAAACACCAGCCACTGTTCCGCTGGTGGAGGTTGCTAGACCCTCATGAGAACTTAAGTGATTCTCCCCCTCGACAGCTTGCCTACCAAGATCCACCATCTCGCTCCTGAGACATGACACTGACATACATTTGGGAGTCTAGATTCCTGCTTGTCTTCACACACCCTCCACCCCCACATCTTTCCTTCCTACAAACACACAGCCATGTGCCAGTTGGAGTACTCTGGCAGTACCCTGTTTATCAAGAGTCACCCGGACAGCTTGGTAGAGGCAGATTCGGATTCATAGTTCTGGGGTGGGGCCTGAGATTCTGCATTTCTATCAAGCTCCCAGGTGATGTTGATGCTGCTGGTCTCCAGCTTCTGTTTGAGGAGCAAGGCTCTAGGGCTCCACATTAACATTTAAACATTTCTTTCGAAAAGCTGACCGGAAACATCCCTGATGCTCAGCCTTTGTAAGACTGGCTCTTTTGGAACAGGGAAGGCACAGGGCTGTACATCTTGCTCTTAATTTTCTCCATCTTTGCTGTTTCTAGGCCACTGGGAACAGGCTGCAGAGCTCAGAGTCCTTGGCCATGAGGTTCCACTGTGGACCGTCAACTGACGACAGCCTGGTTTCTACCAGCAATGGGCAATGGGGTCAACGTTCATGGGCTGCTCTGAGGTATTACCTGACTGCGTCGCTGTTTCAGCTTGATTTTAACAAGGAGGATGAGGCAGACCAAGGAGACCACGACAAAGAAAGCCAGGAAAATCCCCATGTCAAAGTATTCGGTGGGTTGCTGGAACAGAACACAGACACAGTGAGTCACAGCCTCTCTTCAGCCTGGCAATCGCCAGATGGGCTGTGCTGCCTGGTTGGCAAAAGGACGAGGTGATTGGGGTAAGTTTCCCTTAACTTGCAGGAAGTTCCTAGGGCTCTGCTCACGCACACATGGTGAGCTCTCGAGGCCCAGGTAGTGTCTTTGATGTGACCCGGAGGATGCCTGCAGCGGTCTCAGCCAGGTCCCCCATAGCCAAGGGAGCTCTACTCGTAAAGCCTGGCTCCCAGGGGAACAGCACGGATTGTGCTGTAGCCCGTAAGAAGGGCCCTTCCAAATAAACACAAATAATCACATTTATAGGACAAAGGAGTGAGTGTCATGTTTTGAGGGAACAGTGATTACTAACCATATAATTAATGGTTTACAACAACTCAGAAAATTGTATGCTGCTTCCACAAATATCAGCTTCCACTACAGTGAGTCACATTTACCAAAGTGCTTTTTTCCTTTAAAAAGAAGCCAGCAAGTCAGTTCTGCAAACTCCCTCTTGTTTTAGTTCTTGCCTGTTCCCTCACAGCACACTGCTTCCTAAAACCTTGAAGCCACCTTATCTAGGACACGGACTTAGCCAATAGGAATAAAGCTTTGCTGGCTGGATGCTGTGTGTATTAAGATACTTTGTGCATGAGAAAGAATCGTCCTACATGTGAATATTCCAATATTTGTCAGGGGGAAATAAAACATATATGGGGCACCTGCCCTAGGTTCTTAGAATCCTTTAGCCTGAGATTTTGGCAGAAGTCAAGGGTTAATGGCCAGCAGTGTCTCTTCGACACACTTAAGAGAAGCCTAAACACTATTCAGGGGCCAGGAAATTCAACCCCAGTTGAAAACTAAGTTTTCCAGACTCAAATGTAAGTTAGGGAGTTTCAATAAGGTAATTTTCCCTACAGGAAGAAGGAAGACATGGGAAGCCAAGAGCTGGATGTCCCGTCCCTTCTGTCCTCCCTAGACTGCCTTTCAGAGGGAGATGGGATGGAAGAGAAAGAAGGATAAGAGGTTACCAAGAAGGAATGCCAGGTGGAAGAGACCAGAGACATCTTAGCACAAATCATCTATTTCTAGTAAGATTTTTCAAATTCCCTATAAAGATATATGGGTAAAATTTCTCCCTGGTCTCGTCCTAAAGCTGATCTAAACCTGCAGGAACCTAGGGTACACTGGTATTTCAGACAGAAAGAAGACAGGAATGAAAGCATGAAGCTCAAAGGAAATAAAGGCACTGGGCCAGCCGGTGCAGAGGCTCACTCGCGGAGGGCGGTGCTGGATCCTTGCTCGAGCCACTTTCTGCTTGTTGACGATGTTCATCAGCTTGATGGCATCCGCACCCTTCACATATACTACTGGCCTCTTGAGCGGGTCTTCTGAGCCCTGGTTTAGCTAACGAAGAAGAGAAGTCCTGGTTAAAACATGCACTTACTTTAAGAAGCAGGAGAGAGAGAATGGCCAGAGGAAAAGAACGCTAAATGCCCATCTAGAAATCCTCAAACTCTTCAAGCATCATAGCCTTGGAGCTTCTAGAAGGGTGAGGCTGAGGATAATGCTTGTTTTAGGACGGGCTGGACAGGCTAAAGGTCCAGAAGGGTCATTGAAAATGCCTCCCCATTCCCTAATTCCCTGCTCTATAAATCTCCCTCAGGTATGATGTCCAAAGATGGACAACTAATTCCAGAGGTCAAACGCAAAGTCCCCGAGATGAGGGTGACACGACTGTGAGAAGTGGAGCCAACTAAAGGAAGTGTCTCTCTTGGGAGACTGACTGCAGCACTGGCATGGCCCCAGGAGTTTACCTGGTCGATCGCTTCTGGGTTTTCAGACACATCAAAGATGACTGCAGTAGCTCCCCGCTGCACTGCTCGCTTGGCCTGGCAGAGTAAAAAAGAGCAGGTTGGCACTCTTGTCCTCTTACCTTTCCAAAGCTGGCCTTGGAAATCAGGCCTGTAATCAAAGGCAGAATCTGACAATTTACCAACTTATGTGATCTGGGGCATATTACCAACTTTCCTAAACCTCAACTTTCCCATCTGTGAAAAAGGGGACAATGCCATCTATCTTGTATGGTCATCCTGAGAACCAGATGACTTAGAATAAATGAAAACTAGTAATTGGGTACTCAAGAAACCTTTGTCTCCTTATCCAGCCCAAACATTAAAAACAAGCTACAAATCAACAACCTGCCCAGTCAGCATAGAGGTATTGTTTCAGTATTTTCTGCGATGAGTACAGAGCCATTGGCAACTAAACCAAATGCCTTCGGTCCATCTCATGTGGTCCTTCTCCCTTCCCCTGTCATCCAGTTAGAACAGCATATCAAATATTTCTGAATGAATCTCAAAATGGTCATTTTTAATAAGTGGCATGAGCTGAAGACCTTTGGAGTCACCATCAGGGGGGGAAGCTACAAGAAATCATTGTAAATAGGGATTTAGAGCAGTTGGCTGCCAAACTTGGTTGCACATCAAAAACCACTTGGGAAGTTTGTAAAACAGATTTCCTGGCTCAGACCACAGAGACCGATTCAGCAGGGCTTGAGTCAGGCTCAGGAAACTGAGTTCTGTGAGCTTTCTGAGGATTCGGATGAGTCAACCACTTGGGCAACTATTGATCAGAGAGATGGAATAAGAATATTTTAGGAACAAATGAGAAGTGACAGGATTCTTTTGGGGGCGGGTGGAAGAATTCCTTCCCATCCCAACGAACCTTCTAGCTTCACATCCAGCTAAGTGGACACCAGGGTAGAAGCTGTGGAAGAGTAAGACATAAGATATACCCCTTGCTTTTAGGAGCCTGAATCTTGTTAGGGAAAGAATTTTTTACCTCTCTAATGGGGGTGGGGTGGGGTACAAAAACAAAAACCACCCTTCTATAAGATGGGCAAATGATGGCTAGTGCTCAGAGGTCAATAGAGTCATTACAAGTGCTTGAGAAAGAAAAAAATACAAGTCCCTTCCATAGGAATAATCCCTGTACATTGACATGGTGTAAGAAAGCCAACATAGACGAGAACGTGGCTAGATCAATGGCTCCACCAGCCCACTAGAGGGCAGTCTCATCCCATAGCTTTTTCAACAAGCCAATTCCCCGTTAATTTTGTACCAAACAAGCAGGACCAAAAGCAACTTCTGTAAAACCCTCAGGGACACTGCAAGCTCCTCAGTAATTTAAGAAGCTCCGGCACCCCGGGTGCTGTGCTGGAGTCTGTCCTCGTTCTGCAGAAGGTTTTCTTTTTGCATTGAGATTCAATGTATTTAAAGTCTCTGCCAATTGTCCACCCCACCCTGTTTTATCACCAGAGTACTGCACTAGGAGTCAGGAATGAATCCTGGGAGCTATTGCTGGCTCTGTCACTAGCATGTAGCCACCAGTTGGCAAATCACTGAATCTATTTCAGCCGCAGCCTCGATTTCCCCATCTGTAAGAGGAGGAGGGCACCTATGTCATTATGACTAAGGTCCCTTCCAGGGCCCAGTCTTGGCCACTCAATTGAGAGGCAGGGGACTGTCCCAAGCTACTCAGAACTTCAATGGCCCTGTCACGCCCCTCCAGCGAGAGGATACAGATGGCACACTGAGAAAATTCCAGGCCAAGATGGCATCACTTTCCTCCTCCATAAAGCTCTTTGGGATGCTAACCCCACTGCCTGAGTCCAACAGCTTGTGGATTCCAGAGTTAATAGTAACTAGGCACTTGTGTTTTCTGCTCAGGTGGTATCCCAGTCTTTTTCACAAATTCTTCCCCAGATGCAGAAGGGCCCTGAGGAACAGCACTGAAGATGAGGAAATAAAGAGGACCTTTCGTTCTTTTATTTGGCTTTCATCCCACAATCAAGTACATCAAACAGCACCCGCAGGTAATGTGCATTCAGATATGTCCTGATCGGGAGCTCGCTAACTCCCGCTTTGATGCTGGCGCACCTGGAGAGTCTCAGGGCGTGGGATGAAAAGCTGTGGGATCTGGGGTAAGGAATGCCTTCCCAGCGACACACGCCTTGGGGAAGCCATTTGGCCACATGGCCTCCTGCCGCTTTCAGGTTTCCCTGCTCCACGAGAATGTGGAAGTCTCAAGGATTTGGAGGTTCCAGACGAGGCATGACCCATTTGAGACAGGCACAAAAGACATTTTTAACAAAATCTAGGAGGGCTGACCAGTCTCCTGGTTTCTACAGTGAATAGGATATGTCAAGAATACGGTGCTTAAATCCCATTTACAGCTTGACTTCAGTCACAACTCAACCAGGCTAATTGTACAGACTCCAAGGACAAGTATCTTGTTGGATATTCATAGTTGAGTACTCATAGTTGATTACTTTTTTCTCATAGTTGATTTACTTTTTAAATTATATGTAAGCTGCTATTAAAATAAGTTTGTATTTCTGGCATATATCAGGACTGGACAGGAGGGAAGTCAACCCAGGATCCTATTGGGAACTTGCCTGTTAGGAGCCAGCTCAGGATTTAAAACAGGCTATGAATAACCCCATATTTGGAAAATGACACCTTTATTATACTATTCCCAAAGCAAAGTAAAAAACACAGAACACTGCTTGATCACATTCTTCCCTTGCCCTACATTTCTGTCAAAAAACTGGTGAGGCAACATGGTCAAAGGTTTGGATCCCCATACCAGCCAGCTGCCAAAGATAAAAAAAAAAATTGATGAGGCATCTTCCTTGAACGAATCTTCATATTTTAGATCATTTACTATTTTACGTAGTCAAGCTTGGACCAGAATATTACTTCAAAACAAATCTAAACTCTGGTCAGGAGACTACCAGTCTTGTGACCACCAGAAACCCTTGTTTTATAAAGTCACACACTTAGCGTCCAGAACTCTCAAGATAGGCTGTTTCAATGAAAGGATGGGAAAGACGCAGACTGGTAGATGTGGCTAGATGAAGGTTACCAGTAAACTGGGCTACAGGTGGGGAGGGCAGTTGCCCCTAAACTGTGCACAGATCAGAGTGGAAGAAAGAGCAAGAGAAGGGTGTGACAAGAGAAAATGGGGGAAGGTCTTTCGCCAGACCTCCCAGAAGCAGCCAAAGGCCTTGCCCTGCTGACCTCTGTATGCCCTTCCCCTTGTCCCCACCCATAGAGGTATCTTCACATCCTTTATCACCTTTGCTGCTTTGACCCCCACTCAGGCCAGGGCAGGTTGGCACCAGCCAGCAGGTAACCAGAAGCCTGCTGGGCAGAACAAAAGGTTGTCATGGTCCTTTATTTACCTTTCCAGGGCTGCAGGACCTGAGACTAGACGACATCCATAGCCATTGAAACAAGTAGCAAAAGGGCAAACACCTGCATTCTTACAAAGACATTTTGCAAAGTACGAAATTTCATCCCCTAGAAGACAGTGCCCTACTGTGGTGGGCGCTTATCATTTCTATGATTATTCAATAAACATTATAAATAAAAGAAAGCCTGCCTGGGACCATAATCGTGAACTACTGCTGGTAAAAAGAAAGCGCTTCCTGACCATGGATGTGGTTTTCTGGTATGGAAGTGCTTCTGTCAGTAAGACTGAGTCTAGAATATCCTGATGCAAATGGAGCATTCTGATGAAAATAGTCCTGTCACCACCTTGTGGGCAGGAACACTTAAAGCCTAGAGTCTACAATTACCAGGAATTTCACCCAGGCAGGTATTCTCCCTGGTGGGTGCAGTTACACTGAGACTTGGTTTGGGGCTGGGACCCACCCCAATACCTATTCCCCAGAGCCTCTGGAGCACATACTCCATTTTTCACCTGTGTTTACCTGTTCCTTTGTCAAACACTTCAATATGGTGTCCCCAAGGCGTAACCTTTATTATAGAACTCAGACAGATGCAGTCTTCATGGGAAATAATCCAAAAGATGAGTAAAAATCTCCTTTGTCCCACATTCCTGATCATAGGATAACCAAGGAAGTTGGATTATTAGAAGTAATATGAAGACAAGACTCTTCTAGGCAGTTCTGACACACAGGGGCTCCAAGCACAATTTTTTGCCCCTACTGAATACAATTTTTAATGCTGCATTTTATTTTGCACTTATCATAAGCTTCCGAGTTATTAAAAATTTTTTGTAAATATTTTGAGCGGCTATGATATACTCCTTCCTACACTCGACTCACTCATAACCTTTTTGATATTTGGGCTTTTCTGGTTTTTTATTACAATTAATGCTGCACTGAATAAATCTTGGCTTTCATTTCTAATTTTCTTAGGACAGAGGTCCAGTGCCAAAGAATATGTAGATTATTAAGAATCTTAATATATATGGAATGATACCTAACAGGAAATAATAAAAAAAGAATCTTACTATAATCCGCATAGAATTTTGATGCCCCTCCTTATATACCCACCCAAATCCTATTTGTCTGCATTAATGAAAAGATAAGATGGTACAGACAACATAAGACAAATTTGTCAACAGATTTAACTTCTGGGCAAGGTGGCCTGTTGGCTACGTGGAAGGAGGAAGTCAGTTTGAGAGCAACTCTCTATATGATAATACCTCACATGCGGAAAGGTACTAGAGTAAACTATACTGAGCTGATCATACCTACTCCACTCACCCTTCATGTCAAGCTCACATGCGATGCCTTTCCTAAGACTAACAGTGCTTCTCCTTAGCCAAGGGGAGCTCTCACCCATCTCTGAGCTCTAATATTCCTTAGGATTTCTCCTTTGCCACTCACTTTTTTCATATTTCTTGGCTTTTTATACTTACCACTTTCTATGATGCATTTTCTCTGAAAATATGGTCATCTTTAGCGTTTCTGCTATTTATAAGAGTAATATGCCCTTGGTGTAAAAAATTTAAAGTATTCAGAAATTGAAAGCAAACAATAATTCATATCCCAGCTTTTTAACATGTGTGATTAATA